TCTCATGCATTGAGAACCTGCAGGTATTTCGGTTCTGGACTGGCCTCACGGGTGGGATCAGTCTGATGTGCAATGCTGATTTACCAAAGGTCAAGCTACAGAATGTCTCTAAACTATTGTCCCTTTTCAGAGTTCTCTACTCTCTGTTTTTGTACTCAGAAGAATAGATTAAAATACATTTTTGCACTAATTAATATAATGCATGAATGTGATGTGTCAACCTGTTTTTTTTTTTTCTTTACACACAATAAGAGACAGCAATCCATCTCCCTGACTTATCATGAGCTACTGAGTACACTTAGTAAGTCAGTTCTGCACACTTGATCTACACATTGGCTACAGATTTTGCTGGCTCAACAAAGAGCACATTCCATACTTTCTGTTAAACATTCCGATCATTATTCCCTTTAGTTACTGCACGTTATCTATAGCAATCTTAATAATAACGTGCAGCTTTATAAGTGGCCACTAAGTGGTGACATACAGTCTGATGTGCATACTATGACAGGAGTCCCTTTACATCCTCTGTTTTTACCTATACAATGTACCAGCCTGATGTCTTCAGGGTGATATAGTAATGTCTGATTGCCCCCGTCTCGGTTTAGTAAAAGTGACTCGTTACCATGCAGGGCGATCAGAAGACAAAATCCAGATGTTGATCTCACTGTTCATCAATTTCCAACAGCTGCCATTGTTGAATTAAGACTGGGATAATTAACCAGCTCATGCCCAGTTACTGCCAGTTCCCCCCAGTGTCCATGTCCACCTCGACTCACCCCGAGTATGGGCTCATTCATTCTGTCATATAGGAGTCTGTACAATCCGTCAATTAGTCAACTACAGGGTTATGTACAAAAGTGAGAATTAGCAAATATTCCACGTGAAATTCAATATTAAGGCAAAAATATCTAAACTGATTATTTTAGTTTAAAATTCGAAATTTACTTTGAATTCTGCTTGAATTCCTGACAATTCTCACATTAGTAAATAACACTTTTAGAATCACTTTTCCGTTTTCTCTTTACAAAACAGTGACATGTAAACCTAGGACACCAAACCACCACATGGGGGCACTGTGCACCTCTGCAGCCAGAGATGGGAACATCCTATATAGACTGACTGCATGTAATGGTACGCAGATATATAAAGACTGACTGCATGTAATGCTACGCAGATATATAAAGACTGACTGCATGTAATGGTACGCAGATATATAAAGACTGACTGCATGTAATGGTACGCAGATATATAAAGACTGACTGCATGTAATGGTACGCAGATATATAAAGACTGACTGCATGTAATGGTACGCAGATATATAAAGACTGACTGCATGTAATGGTACGCAGATAATAAAGACTGACTGCATTAATGGTACGCAGATATATAAAGACTGACTGCATGTAATGGTACGCAGATATATAAAGACTGACTGCATGTAATGGTACGCAGATATATAAAGACTGACTGCATGTAATGGTACGCAGATATATAAAGACTGACTGCATGCAATGGTATGCAGATATATAAAGACTGACTGCATGTAATGGTACACAGATATATAAAGACTGACTGCATGTAATGGTACGCAGATATTTAAAGACTGACTGCATGCAATGCTACGCAGATATAAAGACTGACTACATGCAATGCTATGCAGATATATAAAGACTGACTGACCTATTGATGTCCACGTCAATCAATATCAGTTCATTTACCTATTGATGTGCACTTCGAGCAATATCTGCTCATTTACCAATTGATGATCACTACGAGCAATATCTGCTCATTCACCTATTGATGTCCACTTTGAGTCATATCTACTCATTCACCTATTGATGTCCACTATGAGCAATTTCAGTTCATTTACCTATTGATGTACACTACGAGCAATATCTGCTCATTTACCTATTGATGTCCACTTCGCGCAATATCTGCTCATTCACCTATTTATGTCCACTTCGAGCAATATCTGCTCATTCACCTATTGATGTCCACTTCGAGTCATATCTACTCATTCACCTATTGATGTCCACTACGAGCAATATCAGTTCATTTACCTATTGATGTACATTACGAGCAATATCTGCTCATTCACCTATTGATGTCCACTTTGAGCAATATCTGCTCATTCACCTATTTATGTCCACTTCGAGCAATATCTGTTCATTTACCTATTGATGTCCACTTCAAGCAATATCTGCTCATTTACCTATTGATGTCCACTTTGAGCAATATCTGCTCATTTACCTATTGATATCGACTTCGAGCAATATCTGCTCATTCACCTATTGATGTCCACTTCGAGCAATATCTGCTCATTTACCAATTGATGATCACTACGAGCAATATCTGCTCATTCACCTATTAATGTCCACTTCGAGTTATATCTACTCATTCACCTATTGCTGTCCACTTCGAGCAATATCAGTTCATTTACCTATTGATGTACACTACAAGCAATATCTGCTCATTCACCTATTGATGTCCACTTTGAGCAATATCTGCTCATTCACCTATTTATGTCCACCACTATGAGCAATATCTGTTCATTTACCTATTGATGTACACTACGAGCAATATCTGCTCATTTACCTATTGATGTCCACTTCGCGCAATATCTGCTCATTCACCTATTTATGTCCACTTCGAGCAATATCTGCTCATTCACCTATTGATGTCCACTTCGAGTCATATCAACTCATTCACCTATTGATGTCCACTACAAGCAATATCAGTTCATTTACCTATTGATGTCCACTTCAAGCAATATCTGCTCATTTACCTATTGATATCCACTTCGAGCAATATCTGCTCATTCACCTATTGATGTGCACTTCGAGCAATATCTGCTCATTTACCAATTGATGATCACTACGAGCAATATCTGCTCATTCACCTATTGATGTCCACTTTGAGTCATATCTACTCATTCACCTATTGATGTCCACTATGAGCAATTTCAGTTCATTTACCTATTGATGTACACTACGAGCAATATCTGCTCATTTACCTATTGATGTCCACTTCGCGCAATATCTGCTCATTCACCTATTTATGTCCACTTCGAGCAATATCTGCTCATTCACCTATTGATGTCCACTTCGAGTCATATCTACTCATTCACCTATTGATGTCCACTACGAGCAATATCAGTTCATTTACCTATTGATGTACATTACGAGCAATATCTGCTCATTCACCTATTGATGTCCACTTTGAG